AAACAGTGCTTCTGACATGCATGTTGCTGGTTCTGGGGCTCTAGGCCAGAGATGCTACTGTTGGTGCTGTCACCCATTTCTGACTGGCGCAGTAGTACAATGGCCGATGAGATGCCTGGAAGTAGTTGGAAATTAGACAGACAGAAATAGGAGCTGGACTCTGACATTAGCTGCTATCCCTGCCCCAAATTTCCTGTATAAATTATTAACCTATTTTCTTGACCTCACTCCCTCCAGATCCTGCACAGCTGTGCTGTGCTGGTCCTGCAGATTCAGGCACTGGCCTGGGTGATGACGTGTCTCGTTTTCTGGGTCAGGTTGCAAGCTGATCCCTTTGTCCTGGGCCATGGGGTGGCCGCTGTCAGCACCACATGTGTGGGCTGCCACGAGACAGGCTTTGCCAATCTCTCCCACTTCCTGTTGTGTCGCCTGGGCTCTGCACACCTGTGTCAAGACAACTGGGTCAGGGCTGGCTGTAACTGCCTTTCTTCTGCTGTTCCCGTTTCTCTGCCAGCCGCTCTCTGGCTCAGCTGACCTGACTCTCCTATCTCCAGCAGGTCAAGAACGGCCATCCTGCGGTGCAGATGAGCACCTCCAGGCCTCCCGACGAGGGGCTGAGGACTCTTGCTCATCCGCACAGCTCCCCATGCTGACCTCGAACCATTTGCTCTGCTGGCTGTGACCCAGATCGCACAGAGCAGGGATTCTCTCGGGGGCTGTGACCGCTGGGCTCGTATTGTGTGTGGTCGATATTCCCACTGATGCTTTATAGCTCGCTTCTCCATTCCTGACACCTTCCACCTCCAGTGACCTCCATTCTTCTCCCCAGGGGGCTTCTACATGGGTGAGCTGCAAGCGCTAGTAGTTAGCACAGCCAAAGTGAGGGAGGACACGTGCTCTTGGGCCTCTTCTTCAGGGCATGCTGAGCAGCCAGGGCAAGAGATAATGTGAGTCTGGCATTGCTTGGCCCTGGAGACAGCTTGGCTGGAGGATTCTCAGCTGAAAGCAATGCGATAATGAGTTTGTAAAGACATCAGGTCTGGAGACAGGTGGCCCAGGTAGCCGTGCTGTAGCACCCACCCAACAGGTCAAAGTAAGGCAATCCACCTGGAGATCTCCGACTCCCTGGTAGCGATTTCTCTCTTTTTTCTCCTAAGAAGAACCTATTCTTAGGAAGAAGTCCTGGATGTAAAGCACATTCATCCTGTCCCTTCAGCTTCCGCTCTAAAGAGAGGTGCTCCTTGGACTCCTTGACTTCTGCTTTGCTCAAGTGTTTTCAGCTCATAGCTAGTTCCTGATCTATTCCCACTTCCCTGGCCTGGGATCCTTTCTCATTTGCCACTTAATACCCTATTTGCCACTTATACCCTCATTTGCCAACAAATGGTATGGGGTACCAAATGGGGTACCATCTTTGCTGTCCCAAAGGGCAGGGGCAGATTGGGTCCAGACAAGGGTATTTGAGGTGACCTTAGAGCCAGATTCGTCCTTGATTTGAGTCTTCCAGATGCAACGTTCTTCCCCACCTCCCCTTCCTGGGCGTGTGAGCTCCCTGCCCAGCCATCCTGAGCAAACAGCAAGCAGCTAGGTTTCATGTCCATCGCCCACTGCTCAGCTGTGACTCTGTGTTGACTCAGAGGCATCTCTGGCTGCAGGGGCCAGTTCTCAGTGATCTGCCCTTGTTCTGCCAGTGGGGTGTGGGGGGCCCTTGTCACTTTTCAAAGGCCTGGTGTTCTTTGTAGTAGAGACTAATGTATAGGGGCACAGGGCATTATGGGGTATTTGAGGCTGAATGATGGTCTTTTCCCAGCTCAGGCTCTATAGAAAGAGCAAACGAATGCATGTGATGTGCAATGCTGTCACCTAGCGTCAGAATACGGCAACAAGCAGAAAGCAATTATTCCTCCTCCTCATAAATGTGCATGTAGAATAGAGGTGGATCCTGGCTACAGCACCAGATGAGGGTTTGGGGATGATCGCTGCATGGGGCTGCAAACTCTGGGAGATACCACGATGATGGTTTCAGGGCTGGCAAGCGAGATCCCTTTCTTTTTGGCCTTGAATGACTTGGTGTAATTGTGGGTGGAGACCTATCCACTGCACTGTGGGTGGGCACCCCTGTGAGAGTCTCCTACAGCCTCCCAATGTGAGGACCGCGGCAATTTATGGTGACAGGGGCTCTCCCTCTAGCTTGTTCCTTTGGCCTTTTGGCTAGGGGCAAATGACATTAGTGGGTATCTGAACTCAAGACCTCTGGACTTGAGGTCTGCACGTAGGATGCCTGCCATGGATTTGGGAGCATCTGAAGCTCCAGACTAAAGTCTGCCAGATAGGATGCTTGCCAGTGGCAGTGCCACACAGATTTGAATGATTGCGCTCTGATCAATTGATAGATTTCGGAACTGATTTGGCTGCTTTGGCTTGAGACACAAAATTATATATATGACCTCTGACTCCCAGTACTTGGGAAAGTTTGCATTTGGGCCCAAAACGTCAGTGGAGATTTATGCCAGCTTAGTGTATGGCTAGACTCACCTGTGACAGATTTGTGTGTGTCTTGTGGTAGGCCTGAGGAGCCCCCAGTCTTCGATCTTGACTTCTTTGTGCTAGGGGCTGTACAAACTCAGAAGTTAAGGCGCAGATTAGGCTTTCAATGGTGGCCTCTGGGCTTTTGGTGCCCACCTGGATGCCATTGTAGAGTTTGATATCCAGAGATGTTGAGCACCTTAAGTGTAACTGAAGCCAACAGGAACTGAAGGGGCTTAGTGCCAGAGCAGATTAGACCATACTTACCAATATCATAAGAAGTGATTTGTTTGATTTGGGTCAGAAAGCTGTTTTTGAGGACAGAGGAGCTAAAATTTTTGAGCGGTTCTAATGATTAATGATTCTTAATGATTAAGTCTATTGCTGTCTCAGAACAGATCAGCCCTTTGGATCCATCATAGCCCCAGTCCTGGCAAGCAACCTGGGAAGGTGACTACAGTGTTAAAATGTAAATCTAAAAAATTTGGGCAGAGTCATGGCAGTTGATTTTGAAACTTTGGCAAGGGCCCTTCTGATAGACTTATTTCAGGGAGTTATTCAGAGTTTTTCCTCTCCTGGGCTCTACTAGAGAACTGCTCTCAAAGCAGCTTCTACCATAACAGCCTTTGGTGCCAATCTTGTCTCCCTTCATCCCACTGGAGTATATTGGGTTATTTGGGTGACAGTTTCTACCCTGTGCACTCTAAGGATAAGAATGAATGACAGACGGGACACTAGAGTGAATAAAAGCAGCACACTCTGGCCCAAAGTGGATTTCATAATAACACGCGTTTCTTCCGTTGCACTTTTTCCCATTGTGTCCCAAGACACTTTCCAAAGGGGATATGGATCACTGTATCCCCTTCTGCCAGTGGGTAAACAATAGTGCAGAGAGGTGAAATACTTTGCCCAGGGTCAAAGAGTAGGAGAACCAGAGCCAGACCCTCGTTCTCAGGGCTGGACTATTGCAAGCCACTGTCTCCAGCCAAAGCTGCCAGGAAGTTTAGCAGTATCTGGGGAGGGGTAACTCAAATGAAATTATGACCCATCAACCAGGCCAGTCAGAAACACCATCAGCCGTAGCAAGCTGCCTCTTTCCCCCACTCCTCAAACCTTCCTAGCCCTATTCCTGTTTCTGTTGATCTGAGATATATATCTATATCTATATATCTGTCAACATTTCAGCTGGTAAAATAAAAATACAGAATGGAGGCTTGGAAAATGAGATTGTCTGAATACTTCTGGATTCATACAATTGCTGTCCATATGAGTTTTTACAGCATTTACTAGCTTAACTATTAATGCCCCCCCAACAAAAACCAGCCTGAATAGCAGGGCATATACCAGGACATGAAGTACTTAAGAGTGCTCCAGGAAACGTAGACTTAAATTACCTTTCCAGTTTGACTGCCATACCCTTTTTCCCTCCCTGGCAACTGGCAGCCAATTTTTAACATATATATATATTTATATATATAGTTTTTCCCTTTAGCTGAGGTACACTAACATTTATAGGAGCCAACACATGGACGGTATTTGAATGGCAGCTGGGCTACTTTGAAAGCGGGGGAAAGCCACGTAGACTTGTGCAGTATTAGGTCTGGGCCGCTAGTGGGCAAAACTAGCCTGGGTTGTATTTGCAGGAAGATCAGGGCTTAGCAGAGCTGATGGGGAACAGGAGCCCTGCGGCAAGAGTGGATGTTATGGTTCCCAGCATGTGTCTGAAGTCATTTTGATTCGTTTTCTTCCCTGGGAGGTAGCATGTATGCAGGGTAGCGGAGCTTGAGGGAATTTGTTTCGTACTGACATCATGGGATGCACCCACTGAGATTTGACCCCACAGGGTCTGCACGTGATGATGAGAGACCGCCGGTACCCTAAGAAGTGTAAAATCTAAATAGACAAAGGGTCAGAAGAGAGGCACAGAGAAGGGAAGGGACTTGGCCAAGGTCACCCAGCAGGCCAGTGGCAGAGCCAGGAATAGCATCAGAGGTTTCTGGCTCCCTGTCCTCTGAGTCACTGCCTGAAAGCAGCGGCCTGACCCCTGGCTCTTGCAAGGCTTGCAGGCATGTTTAGCGTTATCTAGAGAAGGTGACTTTCTGCCCCTAATAGAGCCTGTAAATTCTCTGGAGCTGGGACTGTTAACCACATGGTTTGAGGCAGAACACAGTGAGGCCTGATGCACAACTGGGGCCTCTGGGGTGCTGGGAAGTTAAGAAAGAATAATGGAACTATTTGCAGGTTGCTGTTTAGCAGGGTGCTGTCCTTGGCTCGTTTTTCAGGCAGGTCAGTGGAGCTGGGGCAGTCTGCATCAGTTGCAAAGCTGCCCCTGCCGGTTCAGGCTCCTTTAAGGCATCTCAGACTCAGGACCCAAAACTGCTAATCGTTTTTGGCCTTAGATTCTGAGAATATTTGTTTCAGGCCCATCTCCAGTCACCGCCCAGATATGCAGACCCTGGCTTTTGTATGTTTTCATTCCTCGAACACATATCATGCAATTATAGAAAGGGTTTTATTGCTCAGTATGATAATTACAGCTCATGCTTTGATGATAGTACAGGTTTATTTTATATTGTTAGCATGCAGTTTAAATGCAGAGGGTATCGATGACTTCCCTTTAATGAGCTTCCCATTTTCCCCAGGAAGCTCCCCAACCCCTTGTTCTCTCACTAACATGTCCAGTAAACCGTGCCTGGCAGTTCAAATTCACCACCACAAGTCCTTTTGCAATGAGACCCCGGTTCTCTCCGCGGGGGGAAAGGGAGTTTTGAACCACAGATGAGGGGTGCTTAGATCTGCCTGTCTGCCCTGGGGGGGTTTCTCAGGAGAAATTCAGAGCGAACAATGATACAGCCAGACAGGCACTGCAATACTTAATGAATGCACATCACCACCATGGGAAGCAACAGGGGGATTTTGCAATAAGGACAAGTTTGGGCAGCTCCTTTCATTTAGTTGCTGCATCTGAATGGGGAGACCCAGAGGCCTGACACTCCCAGCTTCAGAGCGTCAGTCTGTTTGTCTGAGTGGTAAAATCTCTGCTTCACTGAATTACAGTGAGTCCCTCCTGGCATTTTCGTGTCAAAGCAGGTGGCTTTCTAGTTGGAACTGGCTCTGAATGCTGCTCCCATGAACTGTGGCATTCTTTACCTGCAGCCAAGTGACAGCTGGAAAGAACAATGTGATGTACGCGCTAAAAGCGGTGATTAGTAAAGCTGGAGTCCAGTGGAGCAGAAAGTAATGAGAAACCATCTCCTTGCCAGCAAGAACCACAGCACTGTCTCCCCCTGTTACCAGCTAATATGTTGAATGGAGTTGATGTGGGAAAGGACACTTATGGAACGATGCTTCCAGCCAGCGCCTGCCTAAGACCTGCCATCTTGCTGCCTTGATTGCAGGAGTCTGTTATATTGAGCCAGAAGCCTTTGACTTGGTGCAACTGGAAATGCACGCTCCTGTGGCCTCGTGCTTCCTCTCTGCCCCAGGGGAAGGGGAAAAATCTCTTCTGTAGGGACTCTGATTTATCCTATAAACATCCCTTGCAGGACAAGGTGGGATGTGAAAGATGTGGACCCACATGCACCCCCGAGTCCCTGGCTAATGCTGTTTCAAGCATCCATAACTTTTTTTCAACTACTCAGTCTAATAAAAGATAGCACATCTACTCAAAAAACCTTGCCTGCCTATGTTCTTAGACCGACACAGCTACAACCACAGAGCAAGCATCCATAGATGCAGCCAAACACAGCTGTTTAGCCACGTCCACTTCTTCTGCCCTTCCCTCCACGGGTGTTTGCATCTGTGAATCAAATGTTAGTACAGGAGATGAAGGGCTGATTTCCCATGGTGACAGAAACAGGCAGATGCCGGGGTGATGGGTGTTATCAAATGCAATAAGGCAAGATGATGGGGACCATTCAATAGGAAGGATTATATCAGATCAGCAGATCAGCCCAGCATTTCCATCCACTTCTGTATCCTGCTTCTGATCAAGGTCAGCACTAGCTGCTTCAAGAAGATGAAAGAAACCTCCATGGGCAATTCTTGTGTGACCTATCTCTAAGGGTAGTTTTTTTTCCCCCAGACCAACCAGTTAAATCACTGGCCTGTGTGCAGAAGCAGGAAGGTTTTATAATCCTACGAGTTTCACCACGGTGGGGAGCGGGGGTTACTGATTTTGCACCAATGTCGCTGAGATGAGGAGTGGTGACTGGGCCTGGATTGTTAAAAACAGTGGGGATGATTCTCACTTGCAGTTGACGGGATTATACTTTCATTGTCTCTGTGGATGACCCTTGCTTCCCTGTTCTGCTTTTCTGCACTACTCCTTTTCTTAAAATAGGGTTTAATCCTATCCTCTCAGAGTCTCTCCTGTGCAGAACATAAGCGCCAAAGCCATCCCAGCTGGAACCCAACTTTCCAAGGTGTGTTGAAATGGGCCACCAGGAATCCTACTCCATAAAACCCAGTTGTGCCAGTGGGAGACAGGTGCAGAAAGACAAGGTTGAGAACGAAGAGAACTGGTTGTTCAGTTAGTAAGAGAACCATTGGGGTTTTACAGGACAAAGTGGAGACCTCGCCCCATACTGATGGCACCCAATTAGACTAGAAGGGGCAGCACCCAGTGAATGCAGTCAATGAATCAACCCTCCAAAGCAGGGGAGGAACCCTGCGTAGGCTGCTATTGACACCCATATTATGCTATTGCAGAAGCCAAATCAAACCATCAAGCAGCGTTAAAATGAGACTGAAGGCCTTCCCCCAGCATGGGTCACTGGATCTGGTGTGGCATTGCCCTGAGGACAGGGGAGAGGCCAGGGATCCAGGGCTTGGGGTTAAATCTCGATGACGTTAGCCCGCCGCAGGCAGAGTGGTGCATCTGGGGGCATCGCATTGCGCTGGATCTCGTTCCCATCCAGTCGCAAGACCTGGAGCCTGGAAAAGTTCATGACATCCACAACTGTGCAGAAGCTGCTGATGGAGAATTCTGTGTGGAGAGAAGAAGATGGAGAGCTGAGACAGCCGGAGCTCAGATCTATCTAGCAAGTTGTCTTAGCTAGATTCATACCATTGCTAATAAGCCATAACATGCATTTATTAATATGGTGCATGCTACTGCGGTGCCTTATTCCCTAGAGCAAACTGCTAAGAACCACTCACACACAGCACATTCAATTGGGTCACAGGCAGGGGCTGCATGCAGATTGTTTTCAACAAAGTCACTGTCCTCAAAAACGCATAATGATTTTGGGGGCTTGAGATGTCTTCCAAGAGCTGGATTTCAGAGTGCTGAGCCCAAACCCTGTGAAAATCAGACCCCTTTCAACTAGGGCAACCAGTATCACAGGTCATTGCAGAAAATCCTGACCATAGGCCCTTACCTCTTGAGCAAAAGAAGTAATTCTTCTAGCTCATATCAGTAATAAGCTATAGCCCTTTTTTGTGGACCAGGCATGAGATAGGCACAACTCTCACTTTTTCTGGTGTGCTTTAGGAGTAGACCTGCTGATGTCAATGGAGCGAGACTGCTATCACAGAGGAGTGATTCAGACCCCCTGTTTGTATTAATGGGGTGAAAACAGATGGATCGGAGGTCACAGCTGAGTCTATCTCCTTGTCTTCAGCAAGATCCCTCTGAGGACAGTTAAGGGTGCTGTGGTCCCACCTCAGCTATTACAGAGTATTTGGCAACCCTGAAAAGCCCCAGGTGGGTCACGGGGAGAGGGATGTGTGTGTGCATACTTCAGAGGAGGGCGGGGATTTTGGTTGTAGCCGTGTTGCTCTAAGGACATAGGCAGACAAGGTTCTTTGGGTAGATGTGATATCTTTTATTACAAAAACTGAGTAGTTGGAAAAAATGTTTTTTGCAAGCTTTTGGGCACAGGGGAAGGTGGCACGGTCCAGCTTCCTCTGCAGGCTCTGGGAAAGGAGTGAGCAGCCAGGGGGCAGCAATACTCCAGGACTTGGCAGATGTGCAAGAAATACCTGGGGGAGGAGGAGAACAAAGAGAACTCCTTAGCACAGCTTTTCCCTGTGCAAAGCTGGAGGGGCAGGGAGGTGATGGCTGTTGGGAGGTAAATTCCAGCAGTACAGTGAGAGTCAGGAGGCAGGTGGAGGGAATGGGCCTGGAATCTCCTGCCAGCACTTCCAGTGTTAATAGAAAATCATATGTGGATTTACTAAAGCATTTACCAGTGGTTAGAGCCAGGGACCTGGGAAACAGACATCATGCATTCTCTTCCCGCCTCTGCTACTGTTTCACTGTGCAACTTGGTCAAATCACTTTGCCTCTCTCTTGCCCGGGTGCAACACCAGAAAAGTAATACAGCCCGACCCTATTGATTCTAATACGGTGGTGCCCTGACGTCCTGGGTTCTGTACATACATGTAATAAGAGAGATTCCTGCCTCAGATGACTCTCAGGCTGAGTAGACTGGATAAAGGCTGAGACAGGAAATTCAGGGGGGGAATGACCTGCCCCAGGTCATACAAGGCAGAGCCAAGAGTCAAGCCACAATCCATTTCTTCCCAGTTCTGTTTCCTATCGACTGGGCCACGTTACCTCGGTTTAAATTATTGGCTTTGTAAAGTTTGTGATCCCAGATGAAAAGGCAGCAGACAAAGACCCAATATTATTCTTCAACTGGGATGTGGTATAGGGAAGACTTTGCCAGCCTCGGAGGGACCACCACCACTGTCTTAAAGGCTCAGCAGAGGCCAGGCGTGTGTGTATTACAAACCCTGAACACTGATTCCCTTGATCCGCTGCGTTCCTCGCTCACTACAGGGGGGAAGAAGCAGAGGCTTTCTGAGCAACTCGTTAAACTTGAAAGGTCAAATGCAAAACCTGCAGTAAAAATGAATGAATAAGCAGAGCAGCTTGAGTTCCAGAACAATTTAATGGCATCTGTGGATACATTTAGCAAGTGCAATTTTTTTTTAAGCAAACATTTGGGAACTCGCTCCTGTCTCACCTATCCATCACTTCCCCAGCATGGGGCTGCGTGTCTCCTCTGCCACAGCTGATGGCATCACTAACACTTAATTAAAAGAGTGCACACAACGTAGCGAGCTGCTCACAGTCCTGTGACACCACTGCTGCTTAAAGAAGATCGTGACCTCGGGGCTTGACAGGTGAGCGAAGTGGGAATGGATTTTTCCAGTTGTTTCGTTCTTTTAAAAAAGAAACGAGTCTGTTCTGTTTTGTTTTCTCATTTGAGAGAATATAGGTCCTGGCAGAAGATGCCATGTTGCAGTTTCTGGAGATAAAACTATGGAGCGCAGGAAATGTTGCCGTCAGCTTTTTGCTTACCCTGCCTCCAGTAACCTGGAGGGACTTTTTCTAGTGTCTCTATCCTAAGATGGTCCCCGTTACAGAAGTGTCTGAACCCCTCGCCGTCCTTTTAGAATATGTGGGGGAGGTCAGTGCTCCTATCCCCATGTCACGGAGTGACTGATCAAGGTCAGACAAAAAGTCGGTGATATAGGTAGCAATCAGTCCAGACAACCTGGCTCCGAGTCATCAGCAGCCTCAAAAGAAGCCACCTCAGACTGGGATTATTGACAGGATACTCCTCCTCCAGAGACCAGGTACAGAAATGGGAGGCTGTACATTGGGACGCAAGAGATCTGGTTTTAATCCCAGCTCAGCCACCCTCTCCTTTTGCCTGCCTTGTCTATTTGGACTGGAAACTCTTTGAGAGAGAGTGTGTACAGCCCATCCCCCAGTTGGGTCCCAATCTTTGTGGGGACCTTTAGGCAAGGGAATAAGATGAAAACCTTGAGTCTGCTGAACATCCTCCAGGAGAAAACAGCACTAATACTTGCTCAGCCACTGACTCAGGTTGGTTTCTAAAGGTCACCGCAAACTGAAAGGTTCCCTGTTCCCTACCAGCCATTTTTACAGCCTGCACATACATGCCATTAATAATTCTGGGATCTCCGTTGCAATCTTTCCATTCTCTTTTGAGAGGGGACCAATTTCTGAGCAGGAAAGTTGCTCCTGTGTGCAGAATGTTTTACAGAGCAATCTAGACACTGACATAAGACTTTCCAATGTGCCAGCATCCTCCCATTACATCTAAGCTACTTTGGATAATTCAAAGTTTAATAATAAATCAGCCAAAGGCTGCGCTTCCAGATGATGCCAAGCTGGAGAAATTTCAAGAGCTATGGATGGAAGAAGTTCAGTGCATCCCAGTAAACTTGGGAAGAGCGAGAAAGGGACCGAACAAAATAGCACATCTTTCTTCTTCCCATATGTCCTCTTGGTTGAGCCCTTCTAAAGAGAGCAATCAAGGAAGCCAGAAACTTTTGTGTACTAGTTTTAGGGCCCTGCTGTGTGGGTCAGATGCTAAAGACTCTTCTTCCAGAAGCTTTGCTAGTAACTGGCCAGTGCAAGCCACAGCTCAGGGTTGCATTCTCCCGTCTCAGTCCCCATGAGCAGCTTCCACTAATGAAAGCTGGTTCCTGGCCACTCAGTGCCTCTATGAGCCAAGGACACATCAGTCATGGAGACTTTTGAACCAGACAGTGCTGTCTCCACAGGTGTCACTAGCAGAAAACAGAAGTCCTGACTGGTGAAGGGGCCATGTCAAACTCACAAGAGATAGGCGGGAGGGAATGACCTGAACGGGGCTCGCACGGCCCCCGGGATCTCATCAGATGTGCTAAGCTATGGCTCTAGAAGCAGGCTCCTTGGCTCTGTTTTCCTCCTTGTGTCGCCAGTGTGACAGAGCCTGGCATTAACAAAGAGGAAGCAGAGAGACGCCTGCCATCAAGGTAGGACAGGGCGAGCCCGCAGCATCCATTACAACACCCAGAAGATCCCTGCAGTGGGGAATTGCAAATAGGGAGCCACTGGCTGAGGACGACTGTTTGTACTGGGAACGGATGGCTCGGGGCCTGCTCCACATGGAAATCATTTGCTGATAAGTCCAAGTCGAGCAGACACAAACATTCCTTCCATAGCGCAGCCACTGGTACCCGCAGCCCGCGGGGAGCCCCCACCCTGTCTGGCCCCATCAGAGATCCTGCTACCCCAGCTGGAGGGAGCCTCCTCGTTCTTAGACACTTGCTCAAGTTTTATTGTCACTATCCCGCAGGACGCCCCATATCAGCCCACGCCAGTGTCTGAGCTAGTGTAAATGGATGCAGTTCCTCTGCCAAGGAGACTGCCAGAAGGGGCAGGCAGCAGCTCTGATTAATGGGCTGTAACAGTGATGTGTGCTGGCAGCGCCAGGCTGTGGAGGAGGGGAGTGGTGGCTCTCCAGCACCCCAGGACCTGGGAGCATCACTGTTTTGACACCCCTGCCAGCAATGTCAAGCAGCAAGGGAGCCATCCAGGGACAGATACATGAGACATGAGAGTAGGCAGAAACTCAGATGACACAGATGCGCACCCCACCCCCCCAGTGCCAAATGCATCCAGGCATCATGTAGTGCAGTTCCTATAGATGTAAATGATGGCCTGTGCTAGGAGATGGGGGTTACATGGAAAGCTCATACTGACTTGGCCTTTCCCCCAGGGCACATATGTACTTCAGTGCACCAACACTATGCTCCATGCTCCCGGGGCCAAATACAGCCCTGCTGGGAGCAGACACCCAGCAGGTGTCAATGCCAGGTGTGACTTGCACCGCTTACACCTTCTTCCCGAGCAAAGTTGCAGCCAGGGGGCCTGTTGGCACTTATCCATGCCACTGACTTCAGTGGAGTCACTCCTGATTGACACCCCTGTCCGTGGGAACAGAATTGGCCTCGGCATTTCACTTTCACCATAATTTATATCCTTGCATAGGGAATCAAATGAACATCCCTGGGGTTACTGTCTTATACCCCACTGTAAGGAGAAGCAGAATATTGTCTCACCTGCCATAAGGAGAGTGACTTTCTTTCTGTTGAATCTTCCTTAAATAGCTACGCTAATACAAAGGAACCAAATGGGTCCAAATAAATGTGTTTACTAACTATGTTCAAATACACCAGGCATAGCTACCCGTGTATGACTCTTCTGATTAGCTTCCATAATGTAGAGTACGAGTGCCATTACAAAAGCACCATTCAGCCAAGGATCTCCAAGCAATTTATGAAGATATCATCACAGATGGAAGAAACTGAGGCACAGGGAGGGGAAGTGATTGCCAAAGGCCACCCAAGAAATCCGTGGCAGTGACAGGACTGAAACCCCAGTCTCTACATCGCAATCTCCATGCTCAAACCAGCCTCTGGCAGCCAGAAAAGGCATCTGACTCATCGCCCTCCCGTTTCCTGACCTCACATTGATCATTGGACCATGCACTACCCTGTCTGCATTGCAAGTTTAATGCCAGGATGGTACTCACCATTGATTTGGTTCCCTTGAAGGTAGAGGTTCTCGAGTTGGGTGCTAACCCGGGGGATCTTCTGGAACCTGTTGTAAGACAGATCCAGCTCGAGAATGCTGCTGCTGTTGAAGGCATTAGAAGCGAGTCCCTCGTTCGTCAGGGTGTTGTGGGCCAGGCGGACATAGAGCAGCTTGGGGGACACCTTGAAGTACTCATCTGGGATCGTGTTGATGTAGTTATAATCTAGGTAGAGCTGTTCCAGAGCAATCGGGAGACCATCTGGGACCTTTCTGAGGTGGTTGTAGCTCAAATCAACCAGGATCAAGGACTTTAACCCCTTGAAGGATGCTGCTATTTCATAGATGTAGTTGTGACTGAGGTACAGAGCGGTGAGGTTCTCCAGGCCTTCCAGAGCATTGGCTGGGATCTTGCTGATCTGATTGTAAGCCAGGTGGAGCTCTCTCAGGGACCTAGGCAGGGGGCCGGGCATCTTGGTCAGGTTGTTGTTGTTCAGATATAACCTCTCCAGGTTCTTGAGCTTGGCAAAGATCTTCTTGCCCATCTTCTCGCTGCTTATCTGGTTGCCATGCAGCGCGATCCATTCCAGGTTTGTGGCATTGTCAAATGCTGCCTCTTGGATGGAGGTGATCTGGTTGTTCTGGAAGTAGACATACTTCATCCTGGAAGGCACGAAGGGAAGATACCTCAGGTTGCGACCGTCACAGTACATCGCGGAGGGGAGGTTGGGTGGACAGTCGCATTCTTGGGGGCACTGCCTGGAAACAGGCTGCACAGGCTCAGGGGCGGGTTCTGCTACGGACATTTCCCCTGGAGCATAATAGTACGGGGGGCTCTCATCCTCGTAGTAGGGCACGTAGTTATAAGAAGGTACCCGGGCTTGCCGAAGTAAATACTGCATCCATAGTTCGTCCTCATAATAATACTGGGCCTGTGAGACCCCGCAGATCCCAGCCAGTATCAGGATAGCAACCCAGTGCATTGTGTTGAACATCAAGGAATCTGTATGGAAGGAGAGAGGGGAGGGAGGGGGGCAACATGAGCATTTATTAGGTCAGGCACAAGTAAAATAGGAAGCTGATGGGAGGCTGTGGAGCTGGATGGACAGAGCAGTGGGCAGACTGAGATCTTCACCTGATCTTCTGGGTGAGCGGGGGCAAACCAGATCCCCTCACTTTATCTCAGTGTTTCTATCTGTAAAATAGGCCACCATGGTAAAGCATTTTGAGATGTACTGATAAATAAAGGGCTATTTAAGAGCTGGAAGTTGTTATCAGATCACTGAGCATCTAGTGCTACTGTAACAGATAGGATTAATCCAGCTTTCCAAGAATGTGTCGGTAAACATTTGCTCCAGTAACAGCTGCCAATTCTCAACCCTTTAGTTTGCCACGCACGAACATACCTTCCAGTGAAATTTTTAATGCAGGATTTTTATGATGTAGGATGCAGGGGCGCCAACTGAGATTTGGATCTTTGGCACTAGCTGCAGTGTGTATTAAGAGACAAACTCCTTGCCCTGAAGAGCTTACAGGGCATTTAGACGAGAGGCACAAAAGAAGAGGAAACAGAGGTGGGAAGGGATTTGCACACAGTCACCCAGTGGGGAGCAAAGCCTAGGACTCATGACTCCCAGTCCGATGCCTGGCACACTGCAAATGGAGCTTTGTAAGGCTTTGCATTTTTTCTGCTGCCTTAGTGGATGACTGTCAGCTTCCAAGATGCACATGCAAAGAGGCTCCTGGTACAATGTGATTTTATTTTATTTTTTTAAATAGCCAGCTGGGTACTGCAGAGGACAAACTGTGAATAGCAAATGCTTGGAGCGACTTGTCTCTAATAGGAGTTAATCTTTAGGAGAAGGCTCAAGAGACCAAACTGACCGCACTCAATTAGTTTGCCCTGGCTGATTACAATCTTAATCGATACAGCTATCCATTACCAATCCAGAAGGAGCCGTGTGGCAGCTGCAGCTGCAGGATGGATTGCGCTCAACAAACTCATCAGTCCTACTCATTTACAACA